TTCCCACTGCGCACGATTCGGTCATGGTACTCCCACCCTCCCCTCCTTCGCGCTACCTCCTGCCTCCCCCTACCTCCTGCCGACGCGGCCCTCCCCCGCACCCGCCCGATAGCATTCACAATGCCACCCCGTTGCCGCCCGAAACCGCTTTCCCACCAACCGACACCCCCCCGTCCTGCGATGCCGCCCGTGGCAGTTACCGGCAGGCCTCTCCTCGACCCGCCCTTTTTCGCAAACCGCCACGGTCAATTTTCGCGCGCCGCGCTCTGCCACACCGCTACCACGCTACCGCGGGCCTCCGCAAACCGCCACGGTGCAAAAAAGTGCGGAGGCCTCTCGTCCGCCCACCCTTTTCCCCTTACCTTGGGCCTGCGCGAACCGTCGCGGCGCAATAAAGTGTGCGGGCCTCTCCTCCGCCCGCCCTTTTCCCCTTACTCGGGGCCTCTGCGAACCGCCACGGACCGCCATTCCCACCCTCCGCCCGCATTTTCGGTGACCTGCGCACGCTTGCGTCCTCCTGGTCCCGCACCCCTTCACTACCGCGCCGTTTGGAACCCTCCGCCTCCGCGCTGGTTTTTGCTGGGCCCGGCGGGGGTGTCACGCTGGGCCCTTTCCTTGCTTTAAGGGTATAGAGAAGAGAAGAGATAGTCAGTACGATGGAGCAGTAGGAACACCAATGGTTGGATGATATGAGAGACCCTGTGAAGAGCAAACTAGAGTTGTATCCATTGGGTGCGTGGTGGAAAACCCGTCTTGGCAACAAAGGCTCTTTACAGTGTTCTGGATGGTGATGATGACAATGCATCCGTACAGCTCATTCTTCTATCGACAGCGGCACTACGGGGGCAGTGTGAGTGCCATCGTCAGTGGTGGGAGCGTTAGTCGATTGTAGTCATTATAAGAGTAGTTAGCACGAGGGAGCAGTGGGAACACCAATAGTTGGTCGAAATGAGAGACCCGGTGAAGAGCAAACTAGAGTTGTATCCATTGGGTGCGTGGTGGGAAACCCGTATAGCCAACAAAGGCTCGATGGGAGGGTAACCCTACAACTTTTCTTCTTGCCTAGCTCCTGATCTTTGAGCTTATAGGTAGTAAGTATATGTTCGTTTTTAGTTTTTCAATGTTTTAAGCGTTGGGGTATCTTTGCAGTGGTTTAGGG